CCAGTAATAGATTATTTTGAGGTAAACAAAACCTTTTCAGAGGCAATATTGTGTCACTTTCCTGTATGTCTTCTTATTATTTAAAATTGCACAATTGCAACATTTGAACATATATGTTGGGTGGTGTGTTCAATGATGCAAGAAAATGTAAGGACCATACCATAAAGTAAGTGTAGTGTGTCAAAAAGCAAAACACCAACCCACCATTTTTCTCAAAATTATGTAATTTTAGCATGAGGCATGAATAAGCTGTAAGCCATCTCCCCCTCTTCCTCACTGCTTTGTTCTACTCCTCTATTCTTTGCTGCCTGGTTAAAAGGACACTGTTTCCATAGAGACAGAGTTACTGCCTGACTTGTGGTCAAGGAAGTGCGAGAAGAAAGAAATAACAGGGCAGTCAAACATACGATTATTGTTATGCTTCAGAGACTAAACAGAAATTTCAGTCTGAAGGGGTCCCACCTTGTCCAGGGCTCCAGACATGGAATGGAAGAACCCACATCTTGCAGTATTTAAAATGGAGGCAGTACATCACAACAAACGAAGAGTGCTTACCATTATTAAAGTTTACCCTTAAGGCATGTTTGGCCTGATGATGGAGCTAGTGAAAAGGTCAGAGGATCTCCTCAAATACTAGGGTTCCTCCTCTTGGGAGCATGATCGTGTACAGCATTCTGTGTTTGTACGAGTAAGGTTAGGGGTTAGATATGTAGACTCATGTCAACAAAATGTACGTAACAGTCTACAGACAGGATAGTGGCTCTATGAGACCAATGACGCACAGCTAAATGCTCACATGCTGATGTTTATTAGGTATAACGATAGTCCAGATCTACTGACTGACCAATGATCGGACAGACCGACATTGCCTTTCAGAAAAATACAAACAGCTTGTTTTTATCTCAACGGCTGTTGTTACTCTCAACAACTACAGAGCCACTTGTGCATTTGGTGTACAGTTGGTGACATCACAGAATGTCCCACAGGGGATTAATCATCAAGTGCATGACTTCCACATTCAAATCAAAGTGCGTGGAAGCCTCAGTGAGTCTCATGTTCTAGTGCCAGAAGAAACTGTATGACAATCAGCAGCTTTCAGCCACTGCAACCTCTCACAGCAATACAAACATTTTTATTCCTCTATCCCTGCGAGGACATCTCATTGAAATAGTGCATTCCCTAGCCCCTTACCCTAACCTGAACCATCACGGCTACCTAATTGTAATCTGAACACTAAAACCATGTCTTAACCCTCAAAAAGCAGTCTCTACCCATGCGGACCTAAATTTCTGTCCTCACGGTACGTGTGCATTCAGGTTAAAGTCCCCAGCAGGATAGGCTACACGCCTGGTTAAATGTCTCATAGCACTTACGTGGGCAGAACGACTTCACCTGTTGGTGAATCCAGTTGACATCTCCTTTTATCTATCAGCTCTCCCCACTGTTGCATCAGTACCCAGAGTCACTCTGGCCTCACACTTACACAAGGGGGTTGGCAGCGGAGCATAAGTGTAAATGTGTATTGATGCTTCCTTCCAGAAACTGCACACATGAAGAGAGCATGAACGCTTACCCACATCTGTACTCACAAAAAGCCTGATCCATGCCTGCTCCCTGCTGCACTGCTTACATGGTGTGCTTCAAGCAATGATGCAGTGTCTGACTTGGGAACATGATCGCTCATGAGCTCTATCTCTGCAGCCTAAAACTGCACTATTATCAGTTTCCTGCAAACATACACTTATTGCTGATTCATTAAAGTCAAACTTGTAACAAGTATCATTGAGATCCCTGTGGGTGTTTTATGCAGATAGTTTTAGTTTTACGTTTTGGGGATTTTAAATATATCCACCTCTGAAACTTCGGAGCTATTTCTTTAGTTACCAATGAAAACTATTTTCTGTGGGTTATCCCGCATGCACCTGGGATAATGTTTATCATTGAGTGCGAGTTTCTTGTTATGTCTTGTTGATTTACATTCTTCGAGCACCATAAACACTGTACAATTCCTTACATCGCCATTGTATCAGGTTGGTGAAAAAAACTCAATATGTCTTCTTGGTGGGTTTAGGGTTGATTGGCACACTAAGTTCTAAATAAGACAATCATATCATTTTGAAAGTTGATTTGTACGGGATTTCCTGCCTTTACCTTTTTTCTCACACACATTATCGACACACAAGTCTACTCTATATTTAAGGCACCGTAAAATGAGACAGAACAACCAGAATGCACAGTGAGTGCCAAGAAATTAAATGTGAATGGGCTTGAATCATTGAGAAGGGCTTTCTTTTGAAGATGATTTACTGTAGATTGCAGCACTGACACCGCACTGATGTGACTTCAGGTAACAGTAACCTTTCCATCAAGACACCCCGTGCTGTTTCGCCCACAATATGCTGGGGGAATATTTCTGTGGCCTGATGTATAATACTCGTGCCTTAAAGTCAACAAGCAGGCACAGAGGGGATTAAAGACTGATTCCATCATGTTCAGGTTCTCAAATTGTTTTAGTCTGTATATATGCTGTAATCTGGGTATAGAGCACAGAGGTGCAATTTAATACAGTGACAAACATGACAAGAATATGGTCAAAGATGATAAGCAATGTAATAGAATTTACTGGAAAGCAGCTGTCCCACTTCTTCCTGCTCCTGGCCCAAACCTCTTGAATATTAACTAAGGTGCGTTGAGATCACTTACACTGTAATATGTCTCTCTGTTTAATACCAGCTCGAATATTGGAGTGTGTGTCCTTACATATATTTTTAATGACCCTGCTATCCGCCACAACCATCGGTCACCCTTCATGAGCAGCCCAAACATCAACAACGTCATTATTTGCCATAAACTGGAGAGAGCTGCACACATTTGCAAGTCTACTGTGATCCTATTTGAAATTCAAATGCGAGACGTGCAGAAGAACAACTCTTTTCATGACCCCTGCTTATGTGGCCTTGCTGCTATTCACATATAAACTGAGGAACATAGTTATTTTTAAACTCAGAGGAGAAAGATAAATCTTACTTGCATTGTAAATCACACTTAATGTGCTGTACACTTTATTATATTTATGGATTTGTTAATGGATTTGCAGGTACAGTTGGTTCCCTATTTAGAATTACACGATGCACAGTATGTTGCACTCATCATATTTTCACAACTTCACTCTGAAATTGTAGTAGACCATACGTCTGAATAGAGAAAGGAAAGTTGGGATATTGATTAGTTTGGGGTTGGAAATCGCCTTTTAAAATCACCAAGCAAGACAAAATAAATAGTCAAAAGGTAAATATTCACCAAAAACAAATTTAGGATGAATTTGTCATCTTCTGATACACAGGGCTTCATTGACACCTATCTGCTTAGTGGCTCCACTCCTGGTGCTATGATTTGAATATCAAACAAATGCATCACTCTACTAAAAACAGTATTTCTGATAACAATTTAACCACCCTACACCATGGCATGGTTTGATGAGCTGAACATACCGTTTGTATTTTTACATTTTTAGAGTAACAACGCCAAATATGACATGATAAAACTGAGTAATTCTATTTGTCAGTTAATAGAAGATATCTATGAAAAATATATAGATATAAAAAAGGCCATTATATGTTATATGTAAGTCCAGAAGGTTGCTCCATGCGGTACTGGTCTGTGAAAATATGCTCATACAAGGCTAATGTGCTCCCCTTTGATGGCTGGAATCTTGTTAAGTCTGTTCAGTGATTGTTCAAATCCAAATTTGGCTTTACCCCCATAATGGGTTCCAAAATCATGGATGCATTCAATAGAACTATAGAACTACTGTCCAGCTTTCAATCTAGTAATATGTCTTTTCCAAATAAGTTGGGACCTACCCAGCAAATGAAAATGTCCTAAATTCACCAATTAATACACGCTCAGTGGACACTGTTAGGTACACTCCAACTACACACAGGGTCATGTGTAACTAACTTTTAACAAGACTCAAAAGCACTCAGACAAGATGGAAAGGCTCTTTTACATTGGTCAAAATGTGTGATATACACACACACACACACACACACATATATGTGTGTGTGTGTATCAACTGTTCTGTTCTTCCTGTATTTACACACACACACCAAACACACACTTGGCCAGAGATGAACAGTGAGTGAACCACCAAATGTCCACGTATCTATACAGTGTTATCAAAGCATTAAAGGTTGCCACCGGGGCATGCCAGTACTGAGGTGTCCCTCTTGTTTGGGAGTTGTGGGAGTCTTAGAGAGTCAGACAGCTTCAGTCGGGTGTGTGAAATAATGACAGAAAATGTCTACAAGCTTGGTTTTAGTGAAATGAAAGCATAGTAGAAATCGAGATATGGCCCTGTAGACCGTTGTGCACGAATAAAACGTTTTTGGGTTTTTTAAAGTGGACAATGTTTTATGACTTTCTGTCCTAAATATGTATGTATATATTTGAATGTATGTATTGAATTTTGTGTTGATTGCTTTAATAAACTTTGTACAGTATACTATGTCCCAACAATGATAAATTAACTCTACTCTGCTGATGTTCTGTTTTCCATTTCGGATGTTACCTTGCCATTTGAGTCTGTGGGTTTACAGTATATACCTGATACATATTAGTTAGTAACAAAAATATGGTATGGATCATGTCCCTTTGAATAAGGTGCCAATCACCAGCAATTATCAAAACAATTCAAATACAGTACATCAAAACCAGTGCAATCTTGATATTTTCACAGTTGTACAGTATTGTCACAGTGTACAATAAAGTATTGTCTTTGTAGTGCTGTTGTATTTTTGCTGTTGGTGTGGGTTTTGTGTAGCATTAAAACCTCAATCAAAGTATAGTATAGTTTTTCTCAGTTGGTACAATATGCTATAAGAGATGACTGTTACTAAAGTACAGCATGACTGACATCCAGCCACGCTTGACTATCTTTAGTTAATCATTAACCTCTTGCCATCTCTGCTTTTACTATGTACACATGTACAAAAAAACCTGGTGCCTTTATCTAGCTTACATCACCCTGGCACCAGATATATCAACCTGTGACTTCTCAACACTGACAGACATTCACCAAACTGACAGCACTCTGCGTCTGACCCGAGGAGGTAAGAAACTTTTTAAAATCATGAGTAAAATAATGAATGGATATGCACGAGTTAACAAAGAGGTATAGCAACTTTTTTTCATTCCTGATACACACTCTTTATAAACTTTTTTAAAGTACAACACCTTCATCTTTTCCTCTCTGATTAGAATTCCTACCTTTGTTAATCAAACGATCAGTTACTTTACTTGCTTTTCATTTAGACTTTCTACCACATGAATACTACCACAACTGTGAAGATGACCCTTGTGTTGTTTTTGCTGTGTTCCGGTAAGGGTCACTTTCTTGGTCTAGGTCTGATATCCTGTGGCTGTTTTGTGCACATAAGTAAATGCATGCCAGTGTATACACATGTCAATTTTATGGTTTCGTAGTTAGTGTGTGACATACATTGTACTTTAACCTTGTGCTCTACATTTCAATTGTTAATGACTCATAATGTTGATTGTTGTTTTTATAAGTCATCATTTTAAGTAAGTGAAGAATACAATATTATTTTGTCTTTCTTTTGCAGGATTTTTTCACTTTACTTTTGCATCAAACCATCTACGACATTTCCGTCTTAGTCAATTATACGTAACTTGGAATGCTAAATTGAATGCATGCAACCACACAAATGAATCACTTGTAACTCTCTATGATGAAGAAGATGCCAATTTCATAGTCAAGTTTTTGGAGAAACATGGTGATGGGAAACTTAGCTTGCTGGGTCTGCATTACAATCGAACCACCACTTGGTCAGACGGGACCCCGATCACATTCAATAAGTCATCTGTGAATCTAACAAATGGGGAGCAAACATGTGAAGCTATTAAAAACAACACATGGAGAGGTTTTAACTGTTCAGAGAGGAAGTATTTCATGTGCTCCAAGGGTAAGTTTGTGCATATTTGATTTCCTTTTGGTGCTATATAGATGTAGTATAGTTTTCTTTGAAAAAATACATTAATAAAACAAAACACAGCAAAACCACATAAAACATAACAAGAATAAGAGTGAACAGCCTAGTTAGATGGTGCAAATATCTGTACCAGATGAATTGCAATCCATCCAACAGTTGTCAACATATTTTTCACAAGTCAAAGATGTCAACCTGCTGGTGATGCTAGAGGAACAGCCAGGGGTTCTCCTTTGGGGACCACGGATATCTGTACAAAATGTCATGGCAATCCATCCCATAGCTGTTGAGCTATTTCAGTCTTGTTTAAAGTGGTGGACAGACTGATACTGCTGTCCCTACAGCCGTGCTACTAGCATGGCTTAAAACAGAGTGTATTTTCAAAACAAGCATAGTGGTAGTAAGTAGGAGTAAATTAAATGTGTTGTCTGTTTTGAAAAGCAAATTTATGGATACAAGTCAAATTATTGGGATTTCAGGTGATCATCAAACAATAATTAACTAAACAATTTATGTTTTAAATTTGTTTGAACATTTATTTTTACTTATGTTTAAGTTGCAATTACAAAAATTGGGTTTAAAAATAAATAAATGTAGTTTAAATTTTTTTTTAAAGGTCTATTTATTGTTTACTAGCTCATCTTATTCTTCTATTCTTAGTTTTCCTATTTTTGTGGTTAAAGGTTCAGTGTGTAAGTTTTAATGGCATCTAGTCGTGACGGTTGTGAATTGCAGTGGTTCGCAGTGCATTCACGTGCTCCTCAGATGGTCTCATTGTACATGTGAGAAGACACAAATGCCATCAAAAGTCCAAGTCGACTGACAGCTGATCCAGCTGTCATCAGCTGCTACTGCCATCAGTAATGGACGTTGCTTCATGTGATGTTTCAGAGGAAAGGATGTCTCATTTCTCTAAAAACATATTCCCTCCTTTCTTCTCTCCTCGCATGGTTTCCTTGCTTCTCTTGATGCATTCCTAGTGGATGGGATTAAGACACAAATGACAGAAACTTGAATGCAATTAAAAGACTTGGGAGATACCGTATGTTCTTTATGTTCTTGTCAAGTGGTGAAAGGTCATCAAGTCCACAAGGACTGTTCCTTTCCCAGGACTGTTTCAGTGTGCATATAATCAAGTACAGTCGAAATGATTGGAGCGGTCTTGCTCCACCCATTTTACACTTTTAGCGGTATGCTGTACATGGATGACTAAAATACATGGCTGATGTAGTTTTATGAAGAAAGTTAGCAGCAGCAAGCTATTTTAACCACACACAAATACAAACTCACACATTCTCAACATGAATTAAATTTGCAGAATAAAATGGTATGTTGCTTAGCAAAAATATGAAATAAATGAATGAAATATGTGCCAAAACTGAAAAAACAGTAAAGCTTAAGAGTTCAAATCTCCCAGAATTGAAGCACTTTGAGTTGTTTTTCCAATGTCCAATGTGAATTACGCGTACCTCTACTTGGTATTCTTCTGAAATGTGGAAAACTTTGTTTGTGAAAGGAGATACGATTGTTTTAATTATTTATCTATTTCTGTTTTTTTTGCAGGTGATGATTACACCCTGATTAAAAATGAGAAGAACTGGTGTCAGGCTCTGCAATACTGCAGAACGCATTTCACCAACTTGGTCAGCATCCATAACATCACGCAAAATAGTAAAGTGATTAAAGAGGGAAATAACTCAAGCTTTTGGATTGGACTCCTGCACGATGAATGGGAATGGTTGGACAAAAGCTGCTCTTCATTCAGAAAATGGTATCCTCCTGACCCTGTTAATGTGGAATGCACAAGCATCTATACTAACAATGATGACCCACTATCATTGTATCCATTCTCATGTGAAAATGAAGCAAATATCATTTGCTCCAAAGGTAAGTAATCTCCACAATCAAATGGAGTCTAATGTTGTCCCATTATTTATGTAACACTATGACTCATACATACAGTACATACAGTACACTGTAGAGATGCCAGTTGAATAATTAGACAATGCCATGACAGTAGCCATGTTAATAATGCTGGGACATGTGCATGTGAAAAATAATTCAGCCCACAGAGCCTGTCAGTAATTCAACATCAGTTGACCAACTTCTAGCAGCGTCACCCAAATCATAATCAATCCCAACTTTTAATGAGACAGACATGTGTTTATAGATATTTAAAAAAAAAGTTTTTTAAACAGTACTGCAAATTGCAGAGTATGAGATGAGAAGACAAAAAAGAAATTTTAGGAATATAGAAATAGAAACGAACAAAAATCCACACAACTGAAGAATAGATGAACACACCGGATGTCCAACAGAATAGGCAGTTAGCTGATGCGCATGGGGCTGAATATATTTAGTAATCTAAATGTTACTTCTGTATTTCCCTTGTTTTATGTCAGGCACTGTGAGAATCAAAGTCATTGACCGACCTTTAACTTGGGAACAGGCCTTTGACTATTGCAAGGCCCACCACACAGGCCTGCTGTGGATTGAGGATGAGGAAGACCAGTGGGCTGTTGAACAATGGCTGAATCACACTGATGTTGGTGGTTCATTCTGGATTGGTCTGAGGCAGAGCCGTGTCTTTGGATTCTGGATTTGGAGTGACAGGACAGTGACCTATAGTAAATGGAAGGATAACAAACCACCTGAGATGCCCTTGTCTAATCACTGTGGTGTCATCGAGAAGGACGACAAGAAGGACGACTACAGGTGGAGGGATGAAAACTGTTGGCTCCAGCTACCTTTTCTTTGTGAGGAGGAAATTGTATTCATGAATAAATAGTTAATAGTTGTAAAGTTTTGCTGATAGATTAGATTTGAATGTAGAATCAATGTGATGCCTGATCATGGAGCTGAAAGTTGGCAACATAACCCCTAAGATTCTTCTGTAATGATCTGGTGTTTTTTCTGAATTTAGTTGGTACAGAATTATTGACGTGTTTTTTTCTTCTATGTTGATGAATTTGATATTTGGTGTTTAAATACTGGATGATGATGATGATGATGATGATTATTGTTATTACTGTTATTATTGTTATTATTATTATATTCTGTAATTCTGTAGAAAGATTATGAGTATAGGTTTGTAGTTATTTAAAATTACCTGTAAGTAATGATAAACTACAGGGACAAAAGTGGAAGCAAATCCAAATATGGTTGAAATTCATTTATTCTTCGGTTTGTAATAAGTGACTGTATTTCTCATATTGATTTTTTTATTAAAAAAGTCCCACTCAGGGACATGGGTTTGCTCTATAGATGATTTACTTTTAAGTCTTATAAATTATAAATGTGATATGACAGCACATAGAAGACCTCATGTTTGATGTATGCATTATGTTACTTTGAAACTGTAACACTTTCATGTGAGATTAGTGTGTCTGTGTAAATTCACTTCTATTCTATTTCTATTTTCATCCTCGCCTGGTAAAAAAGCTATATTTTTAATGTAATAAACCATTAAAATCATCATCAAATAGATTATAATGCAACTGGATATATTTTTAACACACCTAGAATGCAATTGTAACTGTAAATTTGATGAAAATAAACTAAAATACAACCGTTATACAATTTTTTTTAAATATACCAGGCGAATGTCCATATTTTGGACATATATACTGTTTAAATGTTGACTTTTATTGGGAGTTATCTTTCATAAAGCTTCCAAAACATTGAAATATTGATAAAAAACAATGAATATTCATCAATATTTCTGTGACCAAAAGCACTCCCATGCTTTACAGGCGTATAACATGATACACCCCACAGTGATTGGGGGTGGGGGGGCATTTGTTGTTACTTTTATCCAGCTAATTAGTCTGTAATTTTAGTGATTTGAGTGATGTGAGCTATGCAGCTGATTTCGGGGGAAGATTAGCTTTGGTTTGAGAGTTTGGATATGAGGATATGTTGTGATTAGAGATAACAGGATGCTTATAATATATATAACTGCAGCCATGTACAGTGCTCACAGAGCGATTTATGTTGTGATATAGGCTTATTTAGATGCTTGATGTGTGTTTGATGTGGATAAAAAATGGTTGGTTTGAGCTTCTGAGCCTCCTAGCTTCACAGAGGTGTGTAGCATGGATAGAGTAATGCAATACTTGTTTCAGACATGAATATCCATTTGCATTTTGTGCGAAAATTGCATACTGCCCCCGGTACAGGGGGCGTCGGTGCTCAGGAGGTACTAAGAAATGTGTCTTACTTAATTTTCTTCTTCATTTTATTTATTCAGCTAAGGATCTCTTTGGTTTTGCTACAATTATCTTCTATTCATTTGTTAGTGGTGAAGCAAGAAAGTAAAAGTACTCATACCAAGTAAAGTCATCATTGAAAAACTTAACAATATAAGTGAAAGTATTATCATCAAAACGTACTTAGTACCAAAAGTAAAAGAACTCATTCTGCGAGATGATCATGGTCCCTATGGTTTTACTATAACATGCATGATGTTTTTGGATTAATATTATGGGTGCATTAATGCGTATGTTGCATTTACTGCAGTGGATGTTTAAGGTTGAGTTCATATTACAGTTTTTCTCAGTCGCTTTGGTGCATTTCTCGAATCATCCTTAACATCTGCAACAGTAAGTGGTTCTCAAAACAGGTAGTACAAACGGCACAACACAGTGGATTACCTGCAAAAGCCCATAACTTGCTCAAAATCCTTAGTCTATCTCTCAAAAGCAAATCTTTATTTCATTGAACTTGTCAGTGCCATCAGAACGACAAGTCCTTGTGTCTTGTTCATGAACAAGCAAGTCAAAATGTTTAGCCATCTTGTCAATATAACAGTGTACTCTGAAAGTATTTTCTGATGTACATTTTGGCTAAGATTTTGATGACAATGATTGAAAATGCAGAAGGCTGCACTTTTTTTGTATGGCATATATCACTTTCACCAGTACAAAGTTATACATTGCAGGAGAGAGGACAGGAATCACAGCTATGCTTTTACTGTTCGTACTGTAATTTGTTGACAGAGCATGTCATTGTAAGAAGAAAAGAAAGAGACAGGACTGTTGCCTGTTGTATCACAGATTCTCTTCCACACCACAACAGATATCTTCATCAATTCAGGATACATTTACAAAAAAATTCTAATAGACATGTATAGAATGTCTATCTATATATAAATTCATATATATATATATATATAAACGGAAGCCCTAATCAAATATTTTTTTACACATAATTTTCTCGTGATTTTGAGATAACCATAATGCTAATTATAGTGTGGTTTGTTGTATCATTGGTTAGCTCACTTGGTAGAGCTTTATAGGTTTAAGGTTGTGTGCTCAATTCTCACTGAAGACTAAATTTTTCTTTTTTATATTTTTCCTAATCCTCTTCAACAAAGTTCTTATGAAAAGACGGTTTCACATGCTCACATTACTGTAAAGTACGTACTGGACTCCTATGGACTTTTAATTTCCCCATCATTCCCAGGCAGAGGAAATTCCTTCTCATTCAGGGGAATCCATGTAATATTACACATTTCCTGACGACTTTCAGAACCTTTGAAATAGCCGTCGGGAAATATGTGATTGGATTCCCCTCAGTCTCTTCATAACAAATTTGCTGAAGAGGATAATACACACAAAAGAAGAAAAAGAAAGTCAACAAGAAGAGGAATCAAACTAATCAAACTGAGCCCTGTGCTCTACCAACTGAACTAACCAGTGACACTGGTAATTGCTTTGAAATTATCCTAAAGAAACGCATCTGCCAGCCCCTGTATTCAGCTATGGTTTGTGATGACGAGAAAAGTAATTATCCCGTTCTCAGGGGAAAACAACATTTGCTTTATATATATATTGTGATGTTGTTGTTGTCAATTCTTACTTTGTTTATGGTCCTTAAGAAACAACATTTCGTTTAGCTAGAGTATATACTTGTAGGCAAAGGATATGAATAAAGTATTTTAACCTTGATTTTTGATAACGTGTTCAAACATTTTGCATGTAGTGACTAATGCAATGAACTTATGCCTAGATGTTTTGGGGGGTAAGATTAGTCAACAGAGACTGGTATAATTCATTGTGATCAGCAGGACATAAGCAATTGATAATGTAGGAAACAGCAGACAATTATATAATATATAATCATTTGCATCAGTGTGTCAAGTCATTTGCAATTTGTTCAAAACAATGAGAAAGTGCTTTTATGGTGTGCACAAGTGACAAGATGATGTGGAGGTTGAACAATTAGTTTTGAGAATTTCAATTCTGATCTGAGAAATGCACCAAAGCGACTGAGAAAAACTGTAACTACTTTATTCAATGCTGGGTAGTTTAATCTACAGCAATATATCATGTTTCATATGATCATCATATATTTGTAGCATTGCTGTCCTCATGCATCTCAGCTTTGTGAGGATGCATTTTCCAGTACAGAAGTACAGTGCTTGAATAAATGTACTTAATTACATCCCTCCACTGGACATTGTGTATGTGTAAACATTCAAATGAGATTGGATAATAAAGGTTAATTATTTTCAAAATTGTCATCAGTAGCTTTAAACAAGACAACTTCAAGGGATCCCAATTTTGACGCACAAAACAAAATGGGACATGTGGTTGGTTAGGTAAAGACAAAAAGGCAACAACAACAGGCTGTCTTGTCTAATCTGTGATGGAAAGGACACACATCTTAAGGGTCATTTTACTTTACAGTTAAATGTGTAATGTTTGCGAGAGACAACAAGAGAACAAAGTAACACGAAGAGTGAAGACACAATTAACAATACATGATTGATAAAGATACTGTATGGGGTTGGGCATGAAGACAACTGAGAAACTTCAACTCAGCAGAATCCAGACTGATGAGTGGGTGAGTTTAGCTCAGGAGAAGAAATATGAAAAGTCAGCTAACAGAACACAAGAGGAGAGTTTGGACAGCACTACTGCAATGGACTGGCAGAAAAAAAGTAGGGGGAGGGGGTGGGGGGGTGAGATGAGATGAGAAGAAAGACAGAAAACAGGTAAAAACAAAAGATGGCATGAAAAACAGACAGCTAGGATATTCATTTTACGAGAGCAGAGGAACAAAAACACAGATAGAGAGAACTGGGAGACAGATTAGAGTGGAGTAGAAAGAATCAGAAGAGTAAGAGGGGGGGAAAAGGAAGCTTGGATAACTTCCAGGGCCATTATTCACACTGTGGACAAACTTGGAATGAAGGCTCAATCTGTCACACCCTCACTCATCATTATAATTCATCAGTGTGAATGTGTGTGTATGTGAGTGTGTTTATAGGCCTCTTGATCATTGCTCATTCCAGGGGAACAGACTTTCTCTTGACTTGTCGCTCAGCTCACTTCTCTGACCATTATATGATGTACGTGTACAAGTGTGTGATCATAGCTCACCAAGAGGAATCAGAGCTTCTCAGGAAACACACTTCTCCACAGCATAAATCACCAGCCACCGAGGATCCTGACCCGCAGCCAAGCACATTTCTTGGTGCAAAAGCGGCAAATTTTCGTTGGCAGGGAAGCGGACTAAATAAGAGGTTGAGCTATGGTCCCATTTGGGGTTGAATGACGGCCCTAGCCTGGTGTCCATTCAGCCCAGGCTGAATCACAACACAGTCATACCTCTGCCAGGGGTTAGCCATATGCAAGAAGCTAATGTGGTCCATAGCTGGGCTTGTATGACTGTGTTCTGGTGACGTTTTAGGTTAAGTCTTCTCAGTAGGGCTGAACAATCATTGGTAATATTATTAAATTTGCAATATGGCGAAACACCAGGCTCCACTTCATTTATACTTTTCAGGGTATACCATAGCCACACTAGTGTTGTCACGATACTGGAATTTCTAGAATTTCTGGAATTTTCTTCAGTACAATCCCTGGAAAAATATTGATATTCAATACCATTTTGATACCATGGGGAGAAACTGACACATTTATTTAATTACTGAATTTAATCACTAAATGATCTAATCAACTTATCTTACAGCTGTTTATTGTTGTAAACTGGGCAATCTATCTCAATATCAGTAGAGGTCCATAGCAGGAAATTAACCTCAATGGTGATGACTCAGTGAAACATATGACACAAAGTTTTGGCTCTACTGTACTGAGCTATGCCATGCATGAGCAATGCATGCAATTTAACAACTACATGTGGAAAAGATTAATATCTATCAAGGACTGACGACCATATTACACAGTGCGTACTAGATCTTGTTAAAGTATTATACATACCATCTGGCTTGGGGACGTTTCGGCATCCTGCAGGAGGAGCTTGAAGGCATTACTGGTAAGAGTGATATCTAGACTAACTTGTTTAACCTGTTAGC